ATGTGAGACCAAGGGTTTTTCGTGAGACCCATAAGACCAATTCTCAACCTTTGGATTATATCTACAATCTGAACATTCATAAACGCCACGAGACTTCTCAATAATCACATAATTGTCATCGTGCAACTTTAGACCATTAGATTATTAGCTTATAAAGTTGATCAATGAACATAAATTGGTCTTACATGTCTCACGAAAAAACCGTTGGTCACGTGAACCCAACCCTATATATATATATATATACATACATATAGTGATAAGTGGTACAACACATATCAACATGTTATTTGGATACTCGATGTTTTTATTACATCTAAATATAGTCGATAAAGATGTTAGTATAAATATATTTGTAAATTTAACTTTTTGTTGGTATAAAGTTATACCACATGTATAAACCGAAAAAAGTTGGTATCAATTTAGTTAGTACCAAGTATAGTTGGTTGATACATGTTATAAAATTTTGTCTACCAATTATAATTAGTTGGTATATAGTATTTGATAAAAAAAAAGTACAATACCATGTTCACCCCTAGTTAAAACTGACCAAATACGAAAAACCTCTAAAAAAATAGGTCACGTAGTTATGAATTACGATCTGTAACCAAAAATCTCTTATGAAAAACCTCCCCACTATGTTGAAGAACCTCAAAGTGAGGTTTTCAGTGTTCGAAAAACCTCTTAAAAAGCACATCGTGAATGGTCTAAGACTAATTAAAAAACCAAACCAAACCAAACAACCAATACATATAGACTATAGTTTGAAAGTAAGGTAAGATCCAGAAGGAATGAGATATATGTTTTTTTACATTACGATGGAGGAACGAAGTGGTGACCTATGCCACGGTATATGCCGTAGTGGGTCCACCCCTCGGTAATGATAAACTTATCATCAACGTCATCAAATATAACAAAATTTGTTAAAACGAATACAAAATGGAAGTGTTCAAATTTGTTAAATCGACTTATGAGTCGTTTACCAAATACTTACTGGGTAAACATTTGCCAACAAGGGCCGCTGCTTTCATTTATCTTGTTGGATAACATTTTTAGCCATCAAAATTGATTCGTCAATTACTCGGTAAAGGTTTTTCCCTCACTTATCGTGTAATAACCTTGGTTTTTGCTATATATTTTACTAAGTAAGATTATGGACCTTGAATATTGATAAATACTTGACAAGGGGCCTTTTTTATTACAATAAATAGGTTAGATGTACAATTTTGCCATAAATATTCTCATAAAAAGTTATAACTAACACCAATGATTAACCTCACATTTATAACACAATAAAAAGGGAAGTTTACTAATTTGTTTATCTTTTAATAGTCTCATTAAGAGTTGAATCTTTTTTTTGGTAAAAAAAAAGTTTGTTGTTAATAATTATAAAACCATTTGAATGATTTTGTATCATGGGTCTCCCTTAACCATTAAGAGCCTTAATTTCATTGTAAACAATTATATTTCATTTTGCACTATATTATAAAAGCTTTTTAATCATTTTAAACAAAATCAATTGAGAAATATTCTCTAAATTTAGCCAAAAGAATTTGGTTATTTCGAATTAAATTTCCTAAATAAAATGGGGATAATGTTTTTACACCTGTGTACAAAAATCTCCTCCAAATCTATATATCTATATATATATTAAAGAAAGAACCAAGAGTATTGAGGTGGCATCATGAGRATTGAGTATTGAGGTGTTGGTGAATTGTGGTTGAGTTTGAGATATCCCAMATTGGTGAAGAATTGAAAATTTTGAACAATATGAAGTGTATAAGAAAGATGGATTGGATGCCTCTGTCAAATATGGGGTTTGCCTCATATGGTTATCTTTCTTTGGATGACCCTATTTGAAATTTATAACCATGGTTGGAAACCAATCAAACCAAATGCCTCATAGGGTTATCTTTCTTTGGATGACCTTATTTGAAATTTATAACCATGGTTGGAAACCAATCAAACCAAATGGTAGAAATTATAGTGCAAAATTTATTATATTATTATCGTAGAAATTAAAGTGCAAAATTTATTATACTATTATATCTTTATATATATATATATATATAAATATATATATAAAAGATATGAAGAACCAAGAGTATTGAAATTCTATATATATATATATATATATATATATATATATATACTAGCTAGTAAATGACTAATAAACTAACTGTTAGCAGATAAACAAATCATATTTGACAAAAACCAGTTTTTAAACATGTAAAGTGATCAAAAATGACATCTTAAAAAAATTAATCAATTGCAATATTTCATATATAAATAAAACAAAACTATAATAGTATAATATGTTAATTAATACTAAAAGAATCTCAAATTGATTATTATAAATTTTGGATTTGTTAAACAAAATTTAGAAATCT